CAAAGAACTCGACTGTCATAAATCCCCTCCCCAGAGCAACTCTAATGCCTTCTTGAAGAGAAGTTGGCGCCACACTCAAAAGACTTTGCCACAAAACTGTCATAGCTCCCATAATTTCCCCCAGGGCCTATTCATCTTCTGGTTTTCCACAGTGCCCTCTATCCCCAACCCCCCGAGAATTTATTTGTTCTCCCAAAAAGCCTACCTGCCCCTCTTCATTCCCTATACAGTATGGTACAGAAGCCCCCAATTCTAACCGCCTTCTTGAGTCACATTTGTCTGTGAACTCCTGTGCATGTATATATGTATTAAAACTATTTTTTGCTCTTACCAATCTCTTTTGTCAAATTAATTTGCAGGCCCTCAAGCATCAAACATGAGAGGGTAGAGAGAAAGGGTTTTTGTTCCCAATGGTACTTTGGAAATATATTTGCATTTCAGACCATAACAAAGGAGGGTTGCTCTTGGCCCATGTAACTCCAGACATAGAGATAAATCAATTTAGGGAAAAACTTGGGAGCTGATCTTCAGGGTTGATCATGTTTCCTCCAGAGGATAAGTGTATATTACTGCCACTGTTTTCCAAGACCTCTAGATCCTCTCAACCTTTTATTCAGTTGATTGTTTTATTGAGGTCACATTGGTTTATAACACTATATACATTTCACATGTACAACACTATGTTTCTACTTCTGTGTACCCTCCAGTGTGCTCACCACCAAAAATTTAGTTTCCATCTGTCCCCGTACAGTTGACCCCTTCACCCATTTTGCCCTCTCCTCCACCCCTTCCTCTTTGGTAAACACTACTCTGATCTCTGTCTTGCTGTTTGTTATTGTTTAGCTTGGTTGGCTCGTGTATTTTGTTGGTTTTTTAATACTCCATGTATGAGTGAAATCATATAGTGTTTGTCTTTCTCCATCTGACTTTACTTCACTTAGCATAATACCCTCGAGGTCCCTCCATATTGTTGAAAATGACAAATTACCATTTATGTTTTACGGCTGAGTACTATTCATATCTCCTTTATCCATTCATCTGTTGATGGACACTTTGGTTGTTTCTGTATCTTGGTTATTATAAATAATGCTGCAATAAACATACGGGCGTATATATCTTTTAGAATTAGTGTTTCATCGTCTTTGATTAGATACCCAGAATAGGGATTGTTAGATCACATGGTTTGTGTATGGTGTAAGACAGTGATCTAGTTTCTTTTTCTTTCTTTTTTTGTTTTTTTCATGTGGCTTCCAGTTTTACAAACACCATTTATGGGAGAGATTATCCTTTCTTCATTGTATGCTCTTTGCTCCTTTGTCATAAATTAATTGTCTGCATATGCGTGGGTTTACTTCTGGGCTATCAACTCTGTTCCATTGATCTATGTATCTGTTTTTCTGCCAATATCATACTGTTTTGATTACTGTGGCTTTGTAATATAGTTTGAAATCAAGGAGTGTTTTATCTCCAACTTTGTTCTTTTTTTTTTTCAGGATTGCTTTGGCTATTCAGGGTCTTTTGTGGTTCCACATAAATTTTAGATTTTTTTGTCCTATTTCTATGAAAAATGTCCTTAAGGCTTTGATAGGGATTACACTGACTCTGTAGATTGCTTTAGGTAATATGATCATTTTAACAATGCTAATTCTTCCAATCCATGAATACAGAGTGTCTTTCCATATATTTGTGTTTTCAGTGTCTTTCAACAATATCTTACAGTTTTCAGTGTACAAGTCTTTCACTTCCTTGGTTAAATTTATTCCTAAGTATTTTACTGTTTTTGCTCTGACTGTAAGTGAGATTTTTTTCTTAATTTCTCTTTCTCCTAGCTGATTGTTAGCATATAGAAATGCGACCGATTTTTATATATTAATTTTGTATCCTGCAAATTTACCGTGTTCATTTATTATTTCCACAAGGTTTTTGGTAGAATATTTAGGGTGTCTATATATAAAAATCATGTCATCTGAAAATAGTGACAGTTTTATTTCCTTTCCAATTTGGATGCCTCATTTCTTTTTCTTCCCTAATTGCTCTGGCTAGGACTTTAAAACTATTTGAATAACAGTGGCAAGAGTGTAGACCCTCCCAATCTGAAAGCAGCTCTATAAGATGATTTGTCAGCCATTTTGATTGACCAACCACTAGTAGGCTAATAATGACCCTCAAAGATATCCAGGTCCTAATCCCTGGAACCTGTAAATGTTACCTTACATGCAAAAGGATCTTTGCATATGTGATTAAGTTAAGGGTCTTCAGATGGGAAGACTATCCTGGGTGTTTTACTTAAGTACTGACAGTAATGTGTCCTTATAAGAGGGAGGCAAAGGGAGATCTGACTATAAAAGAGGAAGAAGGTAAGATGAGGACAGCAGGAGAGACTGGAATGGCTGTAGCATCTAGAAGAAAGAAGAGGCAAGGAATGAATTCTTCCCTGGAGCCTCTAGAAGTAACCAGCCCTGCCAGCACCTTGATTTCAATCCCATAGGACTGAATTCAAATCTCTATCCTCCAGAACTGTAAAAAGAATAAGATTGTATTGTTTTAAACCTCTAAGATTGTGGTAATTTTTTATAGCAGCAGTAGGAAACTAATACACAAATTAGTCTCATACTTAGAGGCCCCCCAGATAATCCCAAATGCAGCTCAGGCTCTCCTTACATATAACCACTTGACCTGCCTATTTTGGTTACACGACCAATATTCCCAGTGCTCCTACTCTTGCTCTGGTGGAGTCCTCTCCTTCTCCTATTTCTTGTCTCTTTCTGGTCCCGCCCCACCCACCCTTCATCCATTCTAAATGCAAGAGAAAAGAAAGTCTCTGTCTCACTTAGTAGAGAATGCGGATAGCAGAACCAGGACAGGAGAAAGCAGAGCAAGTTGCCCTCAGGATGCTCATGAGCCCAGAGGGGATGTCATTAGTAGTTAAGAGGTTGCTGGTAAATGTTCTGGCACTTCAGTGAAATTTTGGCAGGTTCACTACATCAGTTAATATATTAAGTGCTGTGTTTTATAATGTTAGTAAAGAGGAGTGCCATTTAGATCTTGCCAGGAACTCTTCTAAGAGAACTGAGTTTTTAGATTTTTGGAAAAAAATTCTCCCAAATTTCCAGCCCCCCGCCAAATAAATAAATAAATAAATAAAATTAAAGAAAACAGAACTGCCCAGCTATCTGACTTTTTGGTCTCTATTTACACCTCCTGATTTTATAAGTTTGTAAGTAGGAGTCAAGAGTTAACATCTTAGATCAGTGTCTGGCTCGTATTAGCAACTGATTAAGTGTTAGATATTATGATTATGATTATGATTATTAGAATTACTTTCTCTGATCATTCTGAATTAGTTACATAAATTACCTCCTTCTCTTTAAAAAAGCCTTCAGAAAATCAGAAAGAAATGCACAAAGGTCTAACTGGGCTTTGCAGTTCCTAGGAATTGCTTCCTGCCTCAAATACAACTTCTTACATACGCATATGCATTAAAATGAGATTTTATTTCCTTCTTCTCGTATCCACCAGTACATCTGTTGCTCTGCCAGAAGTACTTACTATGAAATGGAATGACCTTGATCATGGATCATTCCAGATTTATCCAAGCAACATGTCTTGCCCACAGGCAGATTCAAAGGACAGATTCCAGATGCAAAGATAAATATGATGGAGATCTAGATTTGCCCAAAAATTCTAGTGGGAATTCTTAATAAAGAATGTCCTCCTCTTGCTGCGTCCAGGAACAAGAGTCACTGGGATATATGAAAACTCAAGTAGCCTGGCCTCATATCTTGGACCTGACCTCACACCTGATCATGCTTTCCCAACGCTTTGCAGTCCACCCTCCACCTTCTCCTGGCCCTCATTTTTTCAGGATCTTTCCTCTCTCCACACACTCCACTCCACAGGAACCCTAACTTTCACCTGTGGCCCCACAGTAGGGTTCTCTGTGCCTTGCCCATTTTCCTCTAAATAGAAGGAGTCTTGGGAAAAAAGAAACCTAAATGGACAGAGCTACAAACTTGCGATTCATTTTTGAAAACTGTACATGCATTTGTATGTGTAAAATCAAAGCAGGGAATAGTCACAAAGAATGATCTTTAAAGCAAATTGCAGCATCTTCTATCTCTCAAATCAATTTATAAATGATACAGAAATACATTAACTTGTGTTTTTCATCCCTTACTCGCTTGGGTATCTAACAGCCAGCAAATGTCTAACGTGGAATTTTAATGTACACAGACCATTTCATGTTATTAAGGGGACTAAAATTTATATGCAAAGGTGAGCATCTCAGCAGTCAGCTCTTTTGCAGTCTTATATTCAATCTCAGCCTCCTTCTCCTCTGAGACTCTGATAAAGGCCAGCACTCCATCCTGGAAATGTTATGTCAGCTCATGATCTATCGAGCAACTATCGCTGCACTTCCAGAGCACATCAGTGGGAGCAGTTCTTTGTATTTCCAAGAAATCAGATTCATCTGAGAAATCTTCACAGCTATTTTCTCATCTAAAAACAAGGAAAATAAATCCTGAGTGGAGAAGTGACCACTATCTTCCAGTCTGCATCATTCACTTTATATTGCTATATACTTACTCAAGCATGACTATCACAAACACTGTTTCCAGTTGTTTACTGGCCATAACTTTAATGGGGGGAAAATTAATTCTGATAGGAGTCACAGAAACAATCAATCACTGATCTAGCCATTTCACTACTTCAAGACAGAGCAACATCTAAAACTCACTCCATAACTTGCTAATGTAAAGTATCTGCAGTACTCGATACCCACTAAGATGTTAGAAGTGTATCTGGCTTGAATAAGCCCTTCTCTGTCCCAGTATCTAAGTCTCTTTTCTGAAAATACTAGTTATTTATTAATGGAGTAAGCTGAGTAAGCTTTCCTTAAGTCTAATTTAAATAAAGCAGAAGATAAATGAACTATGTCCTTGGATTTTATGCCATGTTGAATAAATAACCATGTGCAAACCTTCAGGAACACAGTTAAATATGAGAATGAATACACATTCCCCCAAAAGACTCATGGTTGTCCTTGACAATCATCTCAAAAGATTAAGAGCACATAGCAAGTCCCAAGACTCACTTGTCTGCAATAACTCAGCTCAGTAAACCTTTATCAATCATTTACCATGTACAAGTGACTGGGCTTGTCATCTCAGCGGGCATAAAGATGAATAAGACATGGTACCTGCACCAGAAGAACTTATTCATTTCTCATCCATTAAGGTATGGACACCTTTTTTAGTTCTCAACTTTTCTGTTCCCAATAAGACTTGTGTTAGACAGAATCAAAGCATGCCCTGCCCCCGTGGCATAAGTTAAATCTATAGTCAAAACACCCAGTGCTAAAATAGAGGAGGAGAAAAATATAAACAATTTTTCCTAGAAAATCAATCTGTGTTGATTGAAATTTCTTTCCTCAGAGTAGTTTTATCTCAAAAAATTCTTAGATGAATCTGCAAATATCTGTTCTCATAATTTTGCTTCTGCTGCGCTAAGACCCATAGGGAAAATCCTACGCTTTCTTACATGTAGCAGGGACTCCAGCTTCCTTCTCCTTAGCAAAGCACAAAACCAGCGAGATAAGGCTGTTGATAGAAGGGACTCCATCATGTCTGTGCAATTTGGAGAGTTTCTCTTAAGCCGAAATTATAAGCACAGACAAAACACTGAATGGGTCCTGCCCAGAGACAACCAATCCGAATAAGCCCTAAGGAGATGTAGTGTTTGAATTCAGTTCAGCAGTTTGAGATAAAGAAATGCCACCCATGTCAGGAGAGGTGGAGTTAAAACAAGCAGCAACCTTTTCTCTGATAACCAGGAGTCTTTGCCCATCCCAGCCAATTAGTCGGCCTAATGCATTGTCATTTGAGAAAATGCTTTAGCCTGAGTCTAGACTTGCTGGAGATTACACAAATCCTAGCAAAGTTTTTGATGTATGTGTTGGGAGGAATAATTTCCTTATATCTTTCTTAGTTATCAGCTGGGGTCCCTATAACAAAGGACAGATTAACAAGAGAAAAACAAACAGAAGTTTAATAACATGTATAACTCATGTATGCATAGGAGAAATCTAGAGAAAAATAAGTAACTCAAAGAGATGACTTAGAACTCCAACTGAAATACCATCTTCAGCTAAAGGCAAAAGAAGAAAGGTGTGAGGAGGGGCAGTTCAGTTATGGGGAGGCTACTAGGAGAAGCAACGTTTGTCATTCAGATTTAAATCAATGCCTTTTCCATTGATAAGATTCTCTTAAGATTTAGAACCATCCTTCTTTTCCTAGTACAGACATCCCTAAAAGTGGAGATTTCCTCTCTAAAAGTAAATGTCGCTTACAAGAGAGTAACTTCTACTGTGTTTTCAGGGTTTGTTGTTGTTGTTGTTGTTGTTAATTACCAGCCAACCTGTATTTGGGAAGTGAAAGTAACTGAAACAGTGCTTCATAAGTCACGTCATACAAGGCCTGAGGTTCCAACATGTGCAAGGACGCTGGCCCAGTCTTACCCTCCCACTCAGTCACCTTATTAAAATGTCCTCCTGGTGTCCACAAAATGGTGGTAACATCTCAGCCAATTTTATTTTCACCTGGGCAGGATGACTGACAGCATTGATACTTCATAAATCAGGCAGCCCTGAAATTCCAGGCCTTTGTTCTACGTACTGTTCTCTCCAGTGAGTGATCCCAGCTTGTGTTTGATTTACATGCACAAGAACAGGTTGTTAAACACCCACATTCCTGCCGCGTTTCACTCCCAGCTTGGGCAGCAAGCCTTCTGCTCCACCCATCAGGACAGGCTTTCTTGTCCTTCCTCATTGCTCTCAAACACAACAGTAAGCTCTGTGTTTTCAGAACTTTTCGTGTTTGCTATTTCTCAAAATAATCAGCTCAAAATACTTCTTATGCCAAAGATGGATCTTTTGGGGTGGCATCCTTTGCTACCCTTCAGATGGTAATTTCTGTGCTCCCTTTGAGATCCCTGAATGAGTTCAGTCTAGATTAGAAGAAAGGGTGGTCCTGCTCACATAAACTAAGAGCTCCCCTCAGGTGGAGAAGATTAATGACAAACTTCCGGATTGAGTTCTTGGGGTACCTGCGGCTCACACATTTGAGAAAGCCCTGTACCGTTCCTTCTGCTCATGTTTGTCCTAACATCCTTGGCCTCCTTCCTGCCTCATACACCTGTCTCCTCAACCCAAATTTAAAGAAGCACTGAAGACTCCCATTTGAAAGGATGCCCCTTTGAAATGGGCCATTATTTAGTGCAAAGATCAGCTTTCTCCCATAGGGATTTCCCATATATCAAATCATCACTTTGTCGACTTCATGTGGACAATGTAAGACAAATGTAAGACTTTGTAAGACAAATGTCTTACAATTTTATTTGTCAATTCTACCTCAATAAAGCTGAGAAAATACCAACAAAGTTTATTTCAAATTGTAGTTGAGTTAAAGATCTGAGTCCATTAAAGTAATAAGTAAACAATACTTCATTCGTTATATGAATATTTTAAAAGATGTTATCCAAAATAGTACATTAAGATTAATGCATTAAAACATTTAGGGAACTGGGTAGAGAAGACAGAGAAGTTAGCAGTTTCAAAATGATCAAAGTTCTACTGGCAAGGCTAGCATGCTCCCAATTTTCTAGGTTATTTGACCTGGAATCTCTTTTTTAATATGAAAAATGGTGGACATGAACTCTTTTCTGCTTTCAGCTCAGCTTTTCCCAGTGTGCAATTCAACCATATGCAATATTTCATGAAACAAATCAGTTTGAGTATTTCTCAACAATGAAAACAATAAAGGGAAGAGCCATGAAACTAAGAAAATCAGTTGCTGTAAGTATATTTGTATAAGTGACCCATGATACTTAATCCATAGGAACGCATTCAGAAATATTCAGAACTTGAAGTGACCTTGAAGTTTTTGTTGCATCCATTTCAGTTGAAAATACCAAAGCTCAGAGAGATTAAACCACACTCACCCATGTCTCCAGTACATGGTAGAAACCTTAATAAAAATTCATTTAATTAAACAATCAACTAATTAAAATAAAATCATTTTCCTAACATGACTGCTACAACCTGTTTATAATGAGAATAACTGCCAATATCACAGATTTTCTTTTGCTCAAATGAGTTAATTATGACTTGCTTGGAAGAAAGTCCTGCTCACGGGAAAGTCTGAACACATATAAGAGCTGATGATATTGACAATGGTCAAAATGATGACAACTCCGAGGAACAATCCCGCCACACAGAAATCCCCCAGTTTGTATGCTGTATCACTCTGCCTGCTAGTGAATTAGTCAATGGCCACAAATTCCTTCTAGCCCAGGATGCACACCGCTTTGCAATAGAGCATTGCTGGCTTCCTATCCAGCACGCAGAATGAATTGTGATTATCTCTTGATCAACTAAATGTGATAGAGCTGATGCTGCATGAGTTCTGGAGTCTAGGCTCTAAAAGACCCTCTTGGAGCCTCCACATTTAAAAAGAAGTCGGGGACACCCCTTTGTGATTTTACCCCTTTTTGAAAATTATTCTTAAGAGTCTAGAGTAAGAACCTACGTGGGTCCTTCCCTGTGATCCAACCACAGGCACTTGAAACTTGGTAGAAAGGAAGGTGTAGATGAGAATCAATGCCCACACTGCTCAAGGCATATTAGCATAATAACAGAGGCTTCACTCCAGAGGGCCAGGCTCTTTTCCTTTCTTCCCCAGGACTCCCCCAAGGTGAAACCGTATTACCCAGGGATGGTGTTTTAATTCACACCTAAGTGACTAGACCGCAAGCTGGAGCCTGGGTTCATTTGCAAGTAAATAAAATTTAGCTTTCCTTTTCTAACAGTCCTTAAGGTCAGTGACAATAAGGAGCTACTGGCAAATTTTCATAACCAAAGGGCAAAGTTTGGCTTTGAATGCTAAGTAAGACTTTTTAAGATAAAAATCAAAGCCCTGGCTGGCTTCCTATAGAATATAATTCCCCCGCCCTTTTTCCTCTGCCTGCCCTCTCTCTATTGAAAGACACAGTATTCTTTGTATATTCATCAAAATATATTTGATACCAAAACAAACTGAAGCTCTATCAGGAATCTTAGCCTGTTGGAACTACCTGGGGGTTCCTGGGTCTTTTGTTTTGCTGAAGCTCAGCAACTCAGAGATGATACAAAAGGTAAATGAAGAACCGGGATCTACAATTAGTAGTTCTAGATTCGTTACTTTTTTTTCCTATTACATACTGACACCAGGACAGTGGTCTCTAAAGTAGAGTGTAGGAAGCAATTATTCAAATTGCTTCATTATTTTTCTTTATTTTTAACTTAAAATTATTTGATTTTTGTTTCATTTATTTTTTAACATTTTATGTGTATTTCACAACATAATATAGCAGGACTATAGTATATGTATAGAACTTATAAATGAACAAATAAATAAATGTCAGGGTTGTGTGCTCAAAAAAAATGTATAATAAGGATGACCAATCAAAGTAATTTAGATGCCTTTGCTTTTCGTTGATGTTGAACTTTAACTAAGCCGAGTGTTTCCTGAAAGCAGGAATGGTAGAGAACTTCTCCCACCGTTTTATTTTCCCAGAAAATGCAAAAGACCACCAAGGTAAGACCCACCTCTGCCCTTCTCAGGACCGACTGGAAAGAATTAGAAAAATTAGAACCAGCAAAGGCTTGTTCTGAGATGATCAGAGCTGGTTGGTCCTTAGAATTATTTGTTGTTATGGACACAGTGGGTTCCCCCCAAATTCATACATTAAAGCCCTGATCGTCAGTGTGTCTATACTTGGAGATAGGGACTTTGGGGAGGTAATCAAGGAAATATGACGTTGTAGAGGTGGGGCCCTAATCCTATAGGACTGGTGTCCCTATAAGAAGAGACACCATTAAAAAAAAAAAAGGACACCAGAGATCTCTCTTCTTGCCCCCACCCCACGTGAAAACACAGAGGAAAGGCCATGTGAGCCCACAGTGAGAAGGTGGCCATCTGCAAGGCAGGAAGAGAAGCTTCACCAGAAACCAACCCTAAGGGCACCCTGATGGTAGACTTCTAGCCTTCAAAACCATGAGACAATGAGCTTCTGCTGTTTAAGCCACCTAGTCTATGGTGTTTTATCATGGAAACCCAATGGACTAAGACCACCCAATGCTTAGTACAGATGTATGCTATAGGAATTAAGAGGGAGGTCAAGGAAGACTGGATGAAGTGGGGTTTGAAGGATGGATGTTGAGACAAGATAGTTGGAGATGGTAACAAATGCGTGTTGGCTGGAAAAGTCTATGATCAAAGTGCCAGCATGGTCGCGTTCTGGTAATAGCACACTTCCTGGTTCAGAGCCAGTGCCTCCTCCTGTGTCCTCACAGGGCGGAAGGGGGTGGGATCCCTCTGGAGCCTCATTTATTCCCATACACGAGGGCTCCACCCTCATGACTTAAGCACTTCCCAAAGGCCCCCCTCATTTTTGAGGGTTAGAATTTCAACGTATGAATTTCGAGAAGACACAAGGCCTTTTCATTGGCCTCATGATGCCAAATAGAATCACTGCAAACTATGGGGAAAGTATCCACAAATGGCTCAGAGAAGCATTCTTAGGCAAACGACTACACTGCCCTGAGTTTGGGGAAGGGCTGGGCATCTGGGTGCCAAGAACTGTGAGGAGGCAGAGGTATAGGAGAAAGGGGGTGACTCCCAGACACGGTCAGTCATCTCCAAACCTAGTCTCCCTCCTCCAGTAACCTCACTTTCAAGGATGGTGTGATGTCCATTTTAACAGCACTCAGGACATTAATCTGGCCCTCCTTTCTTACACCCCTTTTGTTCCTAATATTCATAACATCTCACGCTTTGGATCAAATTTTCCTTTGTTCCCTAAAGAAATTTTCTATTACCAGTATAAAATATCAGGCTAGAGGCGAGGGCCCATGAGGTCTAAGTACCTGCAGTTCTAGAAAGATGGTGATACAAGCAACTGATATCTACAGTGAGAACCAGATGCCCCACCCAGGACCCCTCTTGGCAGGATCACACCTAAGTCACCTGATCATGCTGAAATCTTATTAATCTTTTTATCCTTAGGAAGGGCACATTCACTCTTGGGCTGGAAGGAACTTTATGGGCTTGGGTTTGCAAAGTCAATCAGAAAGGGCTATGAGTTTCCCCCCAGCACACCCTCTTACCCAGGTATGATTTTAAGATTTGCATGCGGTTTTCAATCTCAGGAGCCTGGCTCTTCACAGTCATTGTTAAGTGGACTAAAAGTACTACCTCGTAGGACCAACATGTTTTATGTTGAATTTTGAGCTCCCAAAATGGAGATTGGTGAACGGATGCTGGAATTGCTTAAGACAGTCTCAAGGATTACCACTCCCGGTTTGCAAAAGACATGCAGTAGCAAACCTCCACCTGGTTTATCCCGTCTCCCTTCAATCCCCTGCTTGGAAATGTGTTGCAAAAGAGCCCTTGCTGAAGCCAGGCTGCCACATGCTGCTGTCTCTGTGGTTGCCGTGACCTTAGTTACTATTGCCTCTTACTCAAAAACACTAATCGAGTCACAGTCCCACTGCAAATGTGACTTAACTTGCTGTTTTAGTGCTTGCTCAGGAATTGCAAATAAAAAATAATGGCACTTGTAATTAACTCAGAGCCAGCTATATAGCCTGTCCCTCAGTCCGTGATGGGTAAAAGTTCAATTAAAAAGTAAAGTTATTAACAGAGTAAGGTTTGGTTACACATCTGTCATACAGAGTGTGACAGGACACAAAAATTTCTTCATGCCACCAGGGAGGGAATCACTAGGGCCCTGTGGTAACTTTATTTTAGGGCTTTCAAGGATCAATAACTCCATATATAAAGCAATTAAAATTACTCTATATATACAGTCATATGATTAGTCACTGGCTTAAAAAATCTAAATAGAAGTATTTATCCTAGAGTCATGAAGTGTAGAATAGCAGTAAACTACAAAACTAAAAGAAAAGAGAATCATGAAGCAATGCTAAAAAGAACATGAGAAACTTACAGAGATGTCTGCAAACTACCCAAAAAGTTAGTTATTAGAAACCTTCAAAAAGATGTCTGACAGAATGAGGTTCAGCTCACATCCGCTAGGATGGCTATCATCAAAATAAGGGGCAATATCAGATATTCACAAGGATGTGGAGAATCTAGAAAACCTCATATACTGTGAGTGGAAAAGCAAAATTGAACAGCCACTTGGAAAACAGTTTAGTGGTTCCTAAAAAGTTAAACATAGACTAACCAAATGACCTAGCATTTCTACTTATAGGTATGTACTTATCAGGATTAAAAACATGTCCACACAAAAACTTGTACACAAATGTTCACAGCAGCATTATTCAGAATAACCAAAAAAATGAAAACATGAATGTCCATTGATTGATAGATGGAGAAACAAAATATGGCACGTCCATGCCATGGAATATTATACAGCTATAAAAAGGAATGAAGCACAGATATCTGCTATAACATGAATCTTGAAAACATTATAAATGAAAGAAACCAGACACAAAAGGCCATACATCATATGATCCCATTTAGATGAAAAAACTAGAATAGGCAAATCTGCAGAGACAGATTAGTGGTTGCCAGGGGCTGGGAAATGAGGGTATAGGGAGGAAGTCTTTTTCATTGGCAAGGTCCACAAATCATAGTGATGGATTAACAAGAGAAAAAAAAATTAAGTATGTATTTATTCACAGGAGTCTCACACACACACAAAAAAACCCAAAAAACAACAACAAAAAAAACTCAAGGCGGCAACCAGCTGATTGGGGCTTATATATCAACTTAGGCTTAGTAGAAGAAAAGGAGTTTAGTTTTAGCCAGTTAAGAGGGGGCAGTAAAGAGCTTCTCCTACTAGTTCTCAGTTGTCTTTGAGGCAAAATAATCTTAATGCCAAACAGTCCTGTCACTGATTGGCCCATTCTTCTGTCAGTCCAATGGCCCCCTTACCAGAGCATCTCTCTTTAGTGGAGACAACTACTGCCTTCGGGGAGGGGGGGATGCTAGCAAAGAAAATAATTGAGACAATAAAGACACAAGCAATTTAGAGTGAAGACAGAAACATCAATACAGGCAGGGTTCTTGATGTTAAAGAGGTTCAGAATAAGCTTCCTCAAAACGTGTCACTTTTGCATGAGGATCATTTTGAGCTAAAGGCAACTGAGACCCTGTGGTTTCAGTAAAAAATCTGCTCCTCCCTTAACTATCTGGAGGAACATAAATTGGGGGTCTTTCCCACAGGGAGATTTATTACCGGAGATAAATTTTAACTGAGTGGCCCATCAGTATGGCAGGGTAAACATCTAATTACCCAACATCTGCTCTGCTTTTCATCCTATAAATTACCCTCCCATTCTTGGAAGTCCCAGGCCCCTATCCCATTCCTTAGCTCGGATGGCGTATGTACCTCCTCTTCACTTTGTCTTTGAACCTCTTATGTATGTGAGATTCTGGTACATACAAAATTAAATTTGGTTGTTTTTTTAAAGCTGTTTCACATTGATTTGATTATTAGAGCAGCCAAGAGAACATCTGAAGGGTAGAGAAACGTTCTTCCTCCCCTACAATGTACCTGCCTCGGTGTATGTATTATGTCAGGATTGTAAACTTTAACCTGCACATTGGGAAAATGTAATTTTTTTCTTTTTTTCATAAGTAATCTGGCCTCCCTCCCATGATTTTTACGACTTAAGAAATTTTAATTAAAGGTCCAAACCTGCTTAAAACTAAGTCCAATCTAATAACGTCAACAATACTTTACAACATGTCCAGTAAGTCTTGAATAAAAGGGTTCAGCTCTCAGATGGCTTCACCTTCCCCCAGCTTCTCCCCTGCAGACGATCCCTGGATGTTTAGGGGAGAAACATGTGACTGTTTGCTCTGGCATCATTCTCGGGTGAATTCGTCAGCTAGTGTAAGTTATGATCTGGTCTTCCCTGGTTTGGGCACTGCTCTGGAGGTACACACTGGCTCACCACCATCCCCCAAACTTTTCAACCCTCACTGCTATACACCCTTGGGCCTCTGGCCAGCTGGCTATCCTGGCGGTCCTCTGCTCTTACAGACCTCCACCAATTCCAGCCTCAGCTCTCATGTCCCTGTACCCTCCCACTGCGGGCCTAGGGAAGGTCCCATGGCTCTCAGCTCAGCCTCCTGCAACATGAGATCCCAAAAGCCAGGGCCTCCCATGCTAGAGCAATGGGCACAGCTGTCTCCCAGGTGAGCTGAGAATGTCTCAGAATTGATCCCGAGATATTTTCAGAGTCCTAATAAGCATCTTGGTTTGTCAGAGCCCCTCCTCTGCTCTTGGCTTTTCTCTTTCCTTACTGGAGCCAAAAGAGGTAAAAACCTGGGTATACACAGCATACTCCGGTCTCCTACCTCCCTCCACAGGCCCATTGGGCTGTAATCCCCTGGGGCCGGAAGAATCAGGCTTTCCTCCCTTCCATCATCTGGCAATACGTCTCAGTTTGCACTATCAATTCGTATCTCTGCTCTTCAGCAGGAGAACTATATGGGCTGGGTTAGCCAGAGTTGGCCTTACCCTGTTAAAGGAAAAAAATGAGTGGGAAGCGGAATGAATTGGAAAAATCTTTTCTTAATTCTCCTCTGCATGTCAGAGGCTGAACACTATCTCCTATTTCCCAGCCTTCACATCATCATATGACAGACCTCCCAGTCCACATGCGCTCCCTCCTTGGGCCCAAGGCAAATGGATGCTTGGGGTGAACTAGGTGACAGTCTGGTACTCAAAAAGGCAAAAGAGGAATAGACATTACTGTTTTTCAAAACATTGCCCTCTGCCATACATGTACATCCTATCTGATGGGGGCTTTAGTAGTTAAAGATTATTAAGGAACTCTGGAATAGTTTTGAGTAGTCAAAAAATACCAAAATGTATTACTTTTTTAGATTTAAAGTGCATTTCATTGTGCTAACAGTAGATGCTCTTATACTCCAAGGAAATACAGGTGCATATAAATGGGAGACACATAAGGGTTCATAATAGTGCCCTGGAGCCAGACAGCCTGAATTCAAATCCTGACTCTGCCACAGACCTTGGGCAAGTTGCCTATCTTGTGCCTTCATTTTCTCGTTTGTAAAATGGGGGTGATAATTCATAAAGTGTTTATGATAAATACGTAAAATAACACATATACTTAGAATAGTTCCTAGCATATAGTAAAAAATGTAATAAATATTGTCGTATGATGCATATATAATTATGATATGCAGGTAATTGTGATATGACTCTTACTCCCCTATATATTGCAAAAAAATATGGGCCAGGTGCTGTTCTAAGCCTTAAAAATTCAAGTTAAGACAGACACAGTCCTGCCTTTACGTGGGCATCAGAGCTGAAGACAAAGACCTGCACTAGCTCATTGTACCTAGACAAGGTCAAGGTGTTCTCTTTTAGGGAAATCCTCCAGAGTTGCGTGGCTTCCCAAATGCCACTCAGGCTATCCCCAACTGACACGTGTGACCTTGGCCAACAGTATTTAACCAGTGGCCTTCCGGCTCTATCCACGGTTCCATTTGTGTATCCCAAGGTCTTTGGTTCTCTGCAAGACAGCCCTGGCATTGAGTTCTTCCATCAGTGACACACATGGGGGCAGTAGTGACACTTGGGCTTTGAGTGGATGGGCTTTTAAAATTGAGCCCTAAAAAAGAAAGGAAAATAAAAACAATGGAAGACAAGAAGGAGGGAGGAAGGGAGGAAAAGAAGTGTGGTGTGAGAAGGGCTCAAGACAAATACTACTGTGTTGGCCCAGGTTCTTGCTCCCTTCTTGACATCACACAAAGCATGGGATTAATCCACCCAAGTGCACAGTGGGAAAGAGGGTCTGATGAGGGGAGGCGGGGGGGAGCGAAAGACCCACGGTGCCGGAGCTCACCACAGAGGGCTACACTCAGAGCCCTGCGGAAGGCTCTCCACCCTCAGGCTGCTCAGGGCTCAGACCAGCTCCTACAACACCCTGTTCTTCCTCTTCACTGGCCCCACGATGTAGCCGTTTTTGCTCGGAAGCTCCCATGAGCCGCTCTAGCCTTAGAGATTTCCGCTTTTCTAAGCCAGCTGCAGAGTGAGCCCGGGTGTCCCAGCCACTGCGCCCTATCCAGCCCAGAGCAAGCCCACAGTCCATTTTCTTTCTAAGACATTTACTACCAGGAAACAGATAAGAGGTAACACAAACAAGCAGAGAGGGAATTACCAAGATAAGAGCAGACCTTACAGCCAGCCTCTAGTTGTTCTCTTTACAAAACGAGATTGAATTGAATGTTTTGCTTTTTCCGGAGAGAGCTAAGGTGACTGAATGTGCAGGTTTGCCCGGGATGGAGGGGGGTCCTGAGACCGTAGACCTTCAGGGCTAAAACTGGGAGAGTCCTGGAAAAACCAGAAGAGTTGGTCACCCTGCAAGAGCTCAAACGTGCCCCCTCGCCTCCTTCAGACTGAGCTGCCAGACTCAAAGCTGTGGGACGTCCCCCATCAGGGCTGAGCAAAGGTGGGAGTTAGGGCTCCTCCAGGTGCCTGTTTGTCTCAAGTGGGCAATTTACATTTCTCAAGGCCATTGCTAAGGAATCACTGGGTAGGTGATTCCTGGCTCCCAGGAACCCACACAGCCTGCTCCTTCCTCACCTAGACGGGAAGGAGGAGTCCGGGAGGGCTCCACTTAGGTGCTCCCTGGCCATATTTTAGGGATTGAATACCTTCTCAAATCTAAGAAATCCTCCCATCTCTGACCCCTCAACAGCATTTTGCAAACTGCTGTTTCCTGGAAGATTATCTTATAAACCATCTGAAAGTTAATCTGATTTCTTTGTTGCAGGACATCCACCATGGTAATGTGCTGTTGTGGGGGAAATTTTTCCTCCTCCCCTTCTAGGTTCTTTGGCTGGTCTAGTCATTCAATTGGCACAAGACAGAAGAAACACAATTTTTAAAAATTGTCTACATACAGGATCCCCGTAAAATTACAAGACCCAAAGACAGCCAGGGAAATGAGGTTTATATGCTATCCTGATCTGCGAAATGGGACCTAGGGGTTCAAAGGGGAGGAAGGTAACTCACAGGATGATCAGAAGAGATTTTGATCACAGACGTTTGCCCTGCCATATAGAGAGGTCATTCAGATAAAAAGTTACTTCTGAGTCAGGCTGCCAATCTAAATTCCTTTAGTAGTTAAGGGAGAGGCAATAGCTTTTCTTGAGTCTGCTGGGTCCTGATGGACTTCAGCTCAAAATAATTCACATGCCCAAACGGCACATTTTGGGGGTGGCATATTCTGCTCTCCTTCACCGCTGAGGAACATTTCTTAGAGGGACACAAAAGATGCAGCCCCTCGCCACCTATTCAACTACAGACTTTCCTCCCTTCTCTTCAGGGAGTTACTGTCACAGCCCCCAGCACACATGCTCTGAAGAGCATACGACCCTGGGTTCTTTGATTTCACTAAGGAGTTTTGGACCTTCTCCTGGTGACACCCAGTGTTCCTGTCATGGAAAAATCATACAGAATGCTGGTGGGGTTTCACTGAGGTGAACCTAGCACCAGCCCAGCCATGCCAAGCAATGTACTGTGTGTGTTTGTGTGTTTGTGTGTGTGTGTGTGTGTGTGTGTGCATGTGTGTGCGTGTATGCACACGCTGGCTGGCTGCCCTACTCAATTCTTCGCACCTCAACCCAGGTTGCAAGCACCATTTCTGCTGGCTTTGGGAGGGCTGTTGAAAGTCTCTCCAAAGGCCACTGTGCCTGTGTGATTTCTTGTACTTCCTAAAAATTGTGAGGTCCAATAGGTACAAATTCCAGCCAGTATAATTTTGGGGTCATCCCCTCATGTGCCAGCATATGTGGGAGTCACTGTTAAAAATGGTAATTTTGTTATATTCTTGCTTAAATGTACCATTGCATATGCACATGCTAGGTTTTCCAGTAGCATTAAAAACTGTTGAATTGAGATCGGTTAAAAGCAATACACGTTATAGTTCTTTTTCCCAATGATGCATCTTTCTCATTTTTTCCCTACATTTTGTTTTTGCAATTTTTTAAATGGCAATAAAACCAACCAGTGCTGATTTATATACTGAAACCAGACTCTCTGAGGTAGATTGGGAAGTGGAGTTTGAATTCCTGTTTATTTATTTTCCCCTGCAGCTAATGTGGCTTGTCTGTCATTCTGGTTCTGAGTGCTGATGCTAAGGAAGAAGAAAGGCCACCTCCGGCTCCTACAGGGCATTTATCACCTGTAATTTCCCAGAAGTCCTGCCTCTAGTCTCCAAATTCGTTTCCTCCAGCGCAAACTGACTTTCGCTGAGTTAAGTTTGGAGCCAAGGTGTTTTGCAGGTTCAAAGAGGTAAACTTTGCAAGCCACCGGGCTGGGCCCACCACCCTGCGGCTCCCCCGGAGGGGGAGCTGCTGTCCCACCACACCCTCTGCTCAGCGCCGGCTCCATGGGCAGTCTTCACCCCACGCACAATCCAAGTTGTTTAATTAAAAGATTTCCAGCTCCTCATTTCCTAAGTGGAACAGAATGTTAAGTGTCCCTGCTGTAAAGTAAATAATGGAGATCAGTCTTCTCTCATGCATCCTGGTGAGGGAAGCTGCTCTTAGAAGAGCTGGCAGCCTTTCCAGCACAGCACTTTGGGCTGAGACTCACACATATGTGCTATTAAAGTTGATTTCTGGAAAGTGCCATTAGAGGTATTTATTCAGAAGAAGCCACGTATTTGAATGGTGTTCAAACAAACAGGCCTTTCTCCTCTCCCCAACCTCCAACTTTTGGGGCAACCTTCTCTGAGCCTTTAAAAACTTGATGACACCCTTGCATAAATTCCCTCTTTCTGTACCAGCTGGTCTCAACTGGCATCGGAACACCGCTGAAGCTGTCTAAGTGGCAGCTTCCTGAGAAAACTAACTTCCTTTCCTGTCCTCCCCAGTCTTAGACCAGTTGAAGTCACCTTTTCAAGAACAACCTGTCCCCTCTTTCCACCTGCAAATGCGGGTAGTTCCTTCGGGCAGCTCACAGTACAAAGTGTGGCAGGAGCCGCCCAGGTGTTCTGCTGGCCCGGGGAGAGGGACAAAGTCCAGAGTGCGCAGTGAATTTCAGGGTCCTAGAATGTGACAAGGGGCCCTAGAGAGGATGCATTCCTGCACTGCCCTGAAGAGGAGGCTGAGGCCCTAGGTCATTGAGCACCCGGCAGCGGGGAAGGGAAGAAAGCCAGGGACTGCTGGTTCCTGCGGACTCTAATCTGGACCACCCAGAAGACCCACACCTCCACTGCTCCCCAGGTGGGATTTCCCTTTGCAGAGAAGGAAGCCTGTCTTAGGAAGACAGACCAGCTTCTAGATGGCAGCCAGCACTGTAGGGTGAAGACAGGGCAGGACCAGAAAGGACTGTGGGCTTAAAAAATCTTTTCTATGCTTTCCCTTTTTCTTTTCTTTTTTTCAGATTTAATATGCAAAGATGGGAGTTAATTATTCTCTTCAGTTCATAGCACATTATCATTGCTGTCCCCTAAATGGCCCTCTGTTGCTTTGTTTATTTGCTTTATCTCAAAATCTTTATCTCCAAAGCTTTATCTCCAAATTCATTTCTCCTCACAGGCAAGCATTCTAATCGGTTAAATCAGTGTCTTTTTATTTGTATGTGTTCTAGCAAAATGGTATTATTGTGTGGGATATATGGATACATGGGTAGAGAGCTAGACCTCTATATGATAGATACGAGGTTTTTATTTTGAAACAATTACAGACACACACACAACATTCATTTTAAAAAATTACAGAGGCACACGAAAAGATGTTCAACTTCATTACTCGTGAGAGAAATGCAAATCAAAATCACAATGAGATACCACTTTACACCCATTAGGATGGCTGTTGTTAAAAAAAAAAAAAGAACAAACAAAACCCAAAATAACCAGTGTTGGTAAGGATGCAGAGAAACTGGAAACTTCCTGCATGGCTGGTAGGGACATAAGATGGTGCAGTTGCACTAGAGAACATTGTGACAGTTCCACAGAAAGTCCTTAAACATAGAATTACCATATGATCAAACAACTACACTCCTAGGTATGTACCCAAAAGAATGGAGAGCAGAGACTCAGATACTTGTACATGAGTGTTCATAGCAGCATCATTCGCCATAGCCAAAAGGAGGAAACAACCCGTGTCCATCAACAGATGAATACGGATTTTTTTAAAGTCAATATACGCATACAGTAAAATGTTATTAAACCACAAAAGGGAATAAAATTTTGATCTACATTACAACATAGATGAACCTTAAAGGCATTATGCTAAGTGAAATAAGCCAAAAAGGATACATATTGAGTGACTGAAATATATAAGGAGCCTAGGATAGCCAAACTCATAGAGACAGAAGGTAAAATAGTGGTTACCAGGCGCTGGAGGGAGCAGGGAACGAAGAGGTATTATTTAATGGGTACAGAGTTTCAATCTGAGATGATGAAAAAGTTCTGGAGATGGATGCTGGTGAAAATTGTACAAAATGTGAACGTCCTTGATGCCACTGAACTGTATACTTAAAAAGGGCTAAAATGGTAAATTTTAGTTCTGTACATTTTATCTCACCCACAAAAAGACATGTGAAAAATTCCCCGCCACCAAAGATAAGATTCCGATAAACATCTTTGTGCCTGTCCCACGATGGCGCTGTGTGAGAACTTCTCTGGGATACATTCCTAGAAGCCAAATTGCTGCGACATTTTAAATTTAACCAAGTACTGCCAGGTTGCTCTCCAGAAAGGCAGCTCCAGTCTACACTTCCTCCCACCCGCAGAGCACAAGTATTTCTGTGTCCTGCCATTCCAGACAACACTTGACAGTGCTAGCTTTCCAACTTTTTCAAGTCGAATACAAGAAAAGTGCTGTTTTACGGTGCATTTCTCTAATTGCTAATGGTTTTGCTCATCTCTTCACAACCTTATGAGCTTTTTGAAATTCCTCCTCTGTGTAACGGGCTAAATGTGTCCTCCGTGAAGAGGCATGCTGAAGTCCTAACCCCCAGTGCTTCAGGATGCGACCTTATTTGGAAGTAGGGTCTTTGCAGATGTAATCAAGTTAAAATGAGGCCGTTAGAATAAGCTCTAATCCAGTATGCCTGGTGTCCTTTATGAAAGAAGAAATTTGCACACAGGAACCATGTGAAGGGATATAAGAGGAACACTGTACAAAGACCAGAGCTGAACTGTCACAAGCCGGGGATGTCTGGGGCTACCAGAAGCTGGAAGAGGCCAGAAAGAAACCTTCTGCAACAGTCATTAGAGAGAGCCTGGCCCTGGTGACACCTTGATTTCAGACTTCTAGCCTCCTGGGCTTTGAGACAGTAAATTTCTGTTGTTGCCCACCACCAGTTTGGGGTTACCATTTTGTTACGGCAGCTGGAGGAAACTGATATGCTCTGTGAATTGCTTGTCCATCTTATTTGCCCACTTTTCAGTGGGGCTCTCGCTTTTTCCTATAACGTGCAGCTGTTCCTTGTCTGCCCTGGGTCACCTTCGGTTCTTGCCTTTCTCCCTCGGTCACGCCCACCTGCTCCCCTGGGGCCGCTCTGAGGGCAGAGTTTCACGTAGAAGGAAAGGGCAACCCAACCAGATGCAGGCGAGAGGGAAAGAGAGAACAGGGGTATCTTCAGGCAGAGGAGGCTTTGCGCGGCCCCCAAACAGAAACGGGAAGGCCGTCTTGGGCTGGAGGACGCTCAGCCTGGAGACATGGAGGATCCTCTGCGGTTCTGCACCTACCTTGAACCCTTTATCCCCAAAGCCTCTGATGCCCACCTATGGCTGAGATCAGTAGGTAAGTCTCAGCTAGATCCCCAAGCGATTTTCAGGCCACCCGGTGCCCATCTTCAAGGAAACCAGCTGTTTGCCTCACACCCACATATGTGGGGTCTAGTGGTTACCAAAACCCCGTGGAGAAACCAGGCACCGGGCCACGTTAGGCCTTCTGAAACTGTCCTCTGATTTGGTTCCCCTGAGCCCTTCAGAATATCCAAGGAGGAAGGCCATGAAATATTTAAAAGGTCTTTGCTTCAGAAGGGCACTTTTGTTGCCAAAGCTGGAAATGTGGAGAGGAGAGGCTACGGCCGGCTGGAAGAAGGCATCTCCGGCACATGTGGGTATGATTCTGTCCAGGATGCAGTGTCTAAAATGAGCCAGTTTCAGCCATCATTCATTTTCACTTCCCTGAACTGTGCCATCTCTTACTGTCTCACGGTACCTTCCCCGAGAGGCCTCTTACAGGCCCCCACCAGTCCCCAGGCTGCAGCACTGGAATTCTAGCAACGTGTCTGAGAACCCTCGCTCGGAAACCTCTGCCCCCCTGGGTGTGGTGTGGGGAGATGACCAGACCCTGAATCCTGTGCCAAGAAGCTCGACAGTTACTGACACCAAAAAAAGCAAAAAGACGCCGTCTATATACCCTTAGTACATTCAGCTTAACTGAGAATCTTTTTCAAAAATTCTCTTTCTTGAAAAAGATCAAATGACATGACTGAGAAGACTCACAAAGCTATTGCTAGCCTGGAGAACTCAGTCTAGCATCAATGTTTTGGTAAACAAACCTCCTTTTAAAGAATGTCATTTAACTGTTTAACAAACACGTATTGCCTGTGAATTCAAGGCCTTCAGTAGCTGTATTTTTTTTTAATAAAATAGTACTTCTGAACCAAACTGAATCATTCCTACATATACGTATGGAACTTAAGGTTCTGTATTAAGTTTTATCGCCTTGGGGTGGGGGTGGGGACCTTCACAAACAAGACGTGAGATTCAGAAGCTGTCAAGGAAAATGGGCAGATGTGAATATATAATATACTTTTTAAAAGGCTCCTGCCTAGCAACAACAAAAATGAGGCCAAAAAAATCAAATTAAAAATAAAAGATAGATGGGGAAAAGATGTTGTATCATGTACAAGACATTAGGTCAGTGGCCATACTCTTCAAAGAACTTATACAAACTTAAGAAAAGGACCCAAGCCTCCCCTCCACAAAGCCCACATTCGTATATTCCCAGAGAAAATACAAATGGAAGAAGAATATATGATTTTTTCAAAAAAGAATATGTGATAAGATATCCAATCTACTAAAGAAATAAAAATCTTAAATATGACCTCTCTCCTCATACTGATAAACAAAAGCTTAAGTGGGGGTTGGAGGGGAGACTGGAACTTTTACATACTGTTAGTAGGCATATAAATTGGTACAGAATTTTTTTGGAAGGCATTTCTGCATTGCCTCTTCAACTTCAACACATGCATACCTAGTAACCTAATAAATCCAATCTAGAAACTTATTGTATGACAATTCTTGCGTATGTACCTCATGACATATACAAGGAGAAGTATCAAATAAATTATGGTACATCCATTCAACAACACTGTGTACCCTTTAAGAAGGATGGAGTGTTGCTCTAAATACTAACCTGAAAAATGCCTGTGATATATTGTTAAGCGAGAGAATCAAGTTGTAGAATAAGATATACATATGTAACAATTCCATTTATGTAACAAAAATTGTGAAGATTGGCAGATAGACAGGTAAGGGAGCAATCAAGCATGAGCTTAGCGAAAAAGAATGATACATACCAACATATTTAGTGGTGAGATGATCAGTTTTCCCATCCTACTTTATGGTATAGAACTTTCCATAAAATAACCTGTTCTAGTCCTCTTGATCTTGATAACACCACAGATCATGCAGCAAGCTCTCAAAGTCATCACCTGGGACACTCATCTCTATATGCCCCAGATCTAGCTCAGTGGCAGACATCACAGGCAGCTCAACAGCTGTATAGAGCCTCACCCTTCCCCACTCCACACAGCCACAGAGGTTAACGTGGCTCTATCATGATTCAAGGTCAGCTTGAGTCTACTCTCTGAGCCAACCTGCAGAATAGCTTGGTGAAAGCAAAAGTGTAAAGACACAGGAACTGCCACCCAAGTCTGGTCCAGCTTCTCCTCACCACGGCTGCAGCCAGTGGCCACCAGCTTGCCCCGGTCTGAAGGCTCTTACTCCAGGTCACAGGGAACAGCTCAGTTCACAGGGTGAGACCCAGTGGGATAAATGACTATCTGGTAAGGTGCGTGAGGGCCAAATAGGGGCAACAGAGGAGACAGGGAAGTAAGAGAAAGGAAACAGAGGCCAAGGGAGTCACGTGACACCACGAGGAATTGACAGTGAGCAAGAAAAAATGCACAGTATTCTATATTTTCACATAGAACAAATCTCAAAAAGGCCAGATGACCTGGCCTTGTCTTTTAACCGCTCCTGCTGTAGTCATAAAGTCTTTTTTGAACACGACGACAAAATAAATGAATCTTTCCTAAGTGAGAGAGTCAAACATTAATAAAATAAACTCCTTGAAATAAATCTCCAAACTGGATTTTCAAGCTTGGGCTCACAAGAACGCACCAATTTGCAGGCTGGCCCTTCACAAGGGTGTCTGACATCCCAACGATTTGTCTTACTCTTTGGTCTGCTGTCATATTATCGAAAGCTAATACTTGTCAAGGTCTTACTAAATGCCATTATTCTAAGCATTTCGTGTGTATTGGCTCTTTTCACAGCAGCCCTGGGAGGTACATAGGAAGTAAGAAGCCCGGCGTTACAGCTGAAGTGTCTGTGTGGTTAAGTAATTTGCCCAAGATCACCCAGTTAGTAGATATGGGGTCTCAGGCAGCGATTCTTAAATTTTCATGTGTATCTGAATCATCTGGGCATCTTATTAAAGTGCAGATTCTGACTCAGGAGGTCCAGGGTGGGGCCTGAAGTTCTGCATTTCTCATAAGCACCCCGGGAATGCCAGAGAGGCTCCCCCGACAGGCCACACTTGGAGAAGCCGGACTCTGCAGCTGATCTGAGTTACCCTTGCAGGGCCAGGCGGCAATGCCAGCTGTGAGCTCCAAGGACGCAGATTAACCTCTCTGTTTAAAAGAAGAGACTGGGGAGGATGAGCTCTGGACGCTGTCCAACTCTATCGTTTAAAACCAATACAAAATCATCATAGGACAAAATCACCACCACATTGCTGTGCTACATACACTCTGTGCCCAGGCCCCACGTCGGTGCATCCAGTAAATACTTATTGGGGTATTGAACTAGGCACTGGTGGCTACAAGAGTTAAGACAATTCATGTCACTACAGAGATCAATCCTAGGGTACGGGGAAGAGTGTAGCCCCCAGCGTGTCATATACTGTAGAGAAAGAACAGGACGGAAACAGACAAGTCTTGTCATAGAAAGTGACATCTGAGGGGTACCGGAATACATCACCCCAAAATATGCCCCTTTGGCACATGGATGATTTCGAGCTAAAGGCAACTGAGAACTTGCAGATGTAGGAAAAGCTCTTTACCTTCCCCACCTGCCTAAAAATAAAGTAGAAATGCCTCCTTTTGAAAAGGAAATTCACACTTATAATGTAAAATTCCGTTTGTAAAGATGTCTCTGTACTAGGAAGAGAGCTACTCAGGAGACAACTCACGTGTGTAACAAGACGATCCTCATTTATCTCACATTTCCTCCCCGTCTCTCCCCCTACTCAGGAGCCCCAAACCCCTTTTCCTTTGTTTAGCTTAACATGGTATATAAGCCCCAATTATCTGCCATCTCCTTGAGCCCCATTTTCTCCATAAATCTCCATGCAAGGTGCATAATTAAAATGATTTTTCTCTTGTTAAGCTGTCTTATTTCAGTTTGATTCCCAGGCCCTAGACATTGAGCCTATGAGGGTGCAGGGGGGAAAAATTCTCCCCGACATATCTAAGCTGAGATGTGATGGGTACCTAGGAGCCAGCCCCTTGGAAGTGGCTGGGGAAGAGAGGCAGATGGAAGAAAGAGCACAAGAGAAGGCCTGGAAGTCAGCGAGGAATTAAAAGATGTTAACAGAAATAGTGATTGTCCTGCAGGCTGGAGAGGAAAGGGTGTGGGAGGTAGAGATGTGAGTGGGGTCAGCACACACTGAATCCTAAAGGCCCAACTTCTTCACATGGCCAGTGGGCTAGGGTGATGCAAAGCCCTTGAGGAGTTTTAAGCAGGAGATGGATAGGTTCAGATTTTAGTTTAAAAAGGAGCTGCAGTGTATAGAATAGAATGTGGGGAGGTGGGGGAGGAGGGGACAAGGTTGGAAACAAGGTGTCAACTAGGAGGCTGTTACAGTTGTCACTGGGAAAAATGACTGTGACCTAAACTGGGGTAGCAACAGTGGGGGTCGCAGGGAAAGAGACACACTGGAGAGACATTTAGACAGAGAGGACAGAGTGAACAAAATGAAGGGTAAGAAGGAGGCGAGTCAGAAAAAGACAGTACTGAAAGGTAATTTTTGAAAAAGAAAAAAAAGTAAAAATCATGACTCATAAAGATATAAAATGAACACAAGTTAAAGATTTTATTTCACTCATAAAGAAGGAAGCAGGCAGATGTTATAACTGGTTCAGGGAGAAATTGAAAAACAGACACATTTATAGAGGAGGAATATTGAAATGAATGTGCAGATGGAGGCAGAACTAGCTTCTCCCACAGCGGGGGAGGGGAGTCGGGACCTCCACGAGACAGGACAGACTTGGCACACCCAGAGCTAAGAGTCATTCTGCATTCTGGCGGTCACGCACGATTTACAGAGTGGTGCGATGGGCCCCGTGGAATCAGAATACTCAGAGGGGCGTCCTCTAGACGATGCACAGTTTTGCACAGAAGCACAGATTTGTCCTTGAGGGCAAGATGGCTTTGTGATGCTGACTTGGACACCTAGGGGGACAGGCATGACACTGACCGCACAGGAAATGTGGGCAGAGAGGAGGGTCCGAGGGGCTGAGGCAGAGACGATGGGACGTTGCTTGGTCTCATTTCAGTGGCGGGCACTTCCACCTGGGGGAGACGTGGCTGGACAAATACTTGAAGATATTTAGGGGAACCTCCCCTCTCAAAACAGGGCATGCTCTTCAAAGAAGAGGCGGACTTAAACTAGATAGGCATGAAAAGCCGAAGGTCTAAGGCCAGTGTGCTGCCTTGGGCAGGGTTGGCCCTGTTTTGATTTCAAGGATAAAGTCCCTCGGGCTCAGTGGTTCCAGTTTGGGAGGAGGCACGGCTTGAAGCGCCTTCCCTGCTGTAACCACATTTGACACAGACTGAGCGCCATTTTGCAGAAGGTTCTGTGTCTTGCACTATGGTGTATTCCAAAGAGATCTTGCATGGAAGGAACTTCCAGTGTGGCTGTTTCAAATTTGGAATGCATTTTTCATTAGAAAAATGTTACCCATGTGACCACTTCCTCAACCCAGCAACAATGCTCTTTGTTAAGACTCCTAAAAACAGGCACTGCTTTCCAAACCCCAAACTGGAAAACGTGCAAAGGATTGTCCTCAATTTGTCAATTTGCAGGAAACAACATATAAAAATTATTTTTAAAAAATGAGGTTGGTTTTATGGCTTCTGTGTTTTGAAAACAATAAATTCAGTTGAAGCTTGGGGCTGCCTGGGTTATTTCCGATTATATGTTAGTAGATGCAGGAAGTAGTTTTAACAGCATGTGCTAGATTTACATTTTGTTTTTTACTAAGTAAAGCACTATGAGCATTAGTAAAATAAGTAGAAAATGGGAAGGAGAGACAAGAGCAGCAACTGTTTGTGCAGAGTCTAGAAGGAATTCTGTGTTTCCCAGCCTCTGAAGCTCTCTATTTCTCCCAGCAAGTGACATCTGACCCTTACGTACAGGTCCAGTCCCACCTCCAGTCTAAGAAGCTCTTAAATAAAGGTGTTTGGGTCCTTCTAGGTGGTCTTAACAAGTCCTGTCCTGTGGCCACAAAGACCTGAGTTTTGGAGGGACTAGACTTCAAAGTCTATAAACAAGACTCACCATGTTCGAGCCCCCTTCTCTGAGCCCAAACGGACCCTCTTCCCTGCTGTTGCCAATCTTGCTGGACTTTGAGTACCACCTCCACCGGATGCTCTGCCGTCATGCTCAGCCTGCCAGTAGGAATGTCCTGATCTCCGGGACAGGCCCACCACTCACCCCATGTTGAGTGCTCAGGACTCTGGCCCACGCTGTTTGTGTCCTTCAGATGCTCTGCCCTGGACTCTACACAAACCTCCGCCCAACGCCAGCCACTGAGTGGCCACCAAGCAGCAAAGCTGTCGCAGTGGCCG